ATAAACCTCTCCCGGTGAACGCCCTTTCCCCTTCTGTCAGTGGTATATTAAATTTTATTTGGGAGGACTGTCCCCCCTCTCCCGGCTTTGTGCCATCAAAAGGCCGGCATATACACGAGCACCCGAGACACGCTGTCCCTTTTCTCTGCCAAACCACTCGCAAAAGATGTCGAAGCACTTTAATCGGCAACAGTAGCTTATGTAGTCCCCCTCGTTAAGCCCTACTCCTAACATGTTTTCCTACGAAAACGGTGGTAATAGGGTCTTATGGGGGGGGGAATTAGGATACGCAATGGAATAACTGCTATATGCGTTTTTATTTTATTGTATTTATTAGTGTTCTTGATTTATATCTGTAGATTTCCCTAATCTCTATTATCGTTTGACGTATTGCGGAAAAACCCGATTACCAAATTGCGAGTTTCTTTCAAATCCCGAAAAATAGAAATTGTGGTTTTGAGGTCGTCTACTTCAACTGAGGTCCAAAGTACAGTCCTGGAGTTAGATTAGTATAGTCCGCGGCGCGAAGCGCCGCGCACACATCCAATTTAGACGCGGAACAATTTACTGCCAGCGGCCGCGGGAAACAAATTCGACTACATTTTTTCACTCTATACTTACTTCTAAAAATTTCCTTCTCTGCCTATCCTATCCCCCCCCCGCCCAAAAAAACCCTATAGCCACCGTTTTCGTCGGACAAAATGCTGGGACTAGTGGTATATGACGGGGACTACAAAAGCTACTTTTGCCCTTTAATATATAGCTCAGTATGAACGAATAAGGAAACTTGAAACGGAACGGGTCAGAAGATTCTCAGTTTTCGCAAAATCGTAGTATCTATCCTGCCACTCTGACGTACGGGGCATTAAAATAAAGTGTATTGAAAACTGTTCCGGTATGCACAGAAAGAGAGCTCTTTAATTTCCGCGGCATCGGATTTATTCCTTATGCTCAGAAAAGGCAAAAAACAGTCACGCATTGCCATTTTTGATGACTTAATCTTCGAGGAAGGTAAATTACGTAGATAATTGATGCCGAAATATATAATTAAAACGCTTAAGGTTCAAAATGAGACTTGCGATAGAAAGCCTACTAACTGACCTTGGGTATATTAATATCTGACTTTTGTTGTGGACGTTCGCTTTTCTTGGCAATTAATTGACATACTTTAGGCGATACTAAAACCATGACCCAAACATATAGGTGCATTATAGAGAATGCCTAAAATCTCACTATTTAGATAAATGCGTTTAATAAATACCTTATTTTGAAGCATATGTATCCAAAAAA